TAACTCTCGTAACGTTCAGCTGCTGTCATTAATGAGCCTCTGTAGCAGACTGCAGCAGGAAGCTAACATGGTAACACTCGTAGCTTGTTTTAAAACAGCGTTCATTTGAAAGGAGGCGGAGTTTCGTCTCCGGTAGACGGGTCATCACGACCCGGTTATATCACATAGAGCGGTGTTGGTGCTTCCATTAAAACGTGCAGCTCCTCTTGCAGTTCTGCCGTCGACCAGCAGGTGGTGCTGCAGAGCAGGCGCAGCGGCAGAAGAAGAGCTGACAGGAAGTACACGTTTCACGGATACAGCTCTGCTTTGGAACAGTTGGGATCAGGAGCAGAATGTCGTAATTTAAAGAGATGTTCAGTTTTGGGTACTCCGGTTTACCTCGCCCCAAACCTGGACCTGGGTTTGAGTTCTGGACGATCTCAGTTGACTGAGGAGCAGCAGAACCCACAAAGCGTTCCAGATGTTCCTGCTACAGGGCTAGAAACTGGGTGTATGGTTCTTACTGAAGAGGCCCAACAGCTGGAACCAGCTGATCTGTTGCTCGCAGCTGAAGTTCGGCTCTCCTCCGTCGGCTGTCAGCTCCCTCAGGTGGTGGAGCTCGAACAGGTTGATGACAGTGATGTGGACCAGCTGCTGCGAGCTGAAGGCTTTCTGCAGAATCAGCCTCTGAACAAGGAGAATGTATATAAAAAGAGAAGAGTTAGTTTTGTGGATCAAACCAAACCAGAACCCTGAAGTGGGCTACCTGGAACTGCTCCTCCAGTTTCTCCCTCAGAGGGTCCAGCTTGTCCAGACTCTTACTCAGGTAGACGTGGCCGTGAAACTTGATGAACGCTCGGATGAAATCCGACACACTCCACTTGGTTTTCACCTCGTCCCGACTGCAGAACACACAGAGAACTGTCAGAACATGCTGGGTCAGTGTTCACTATGGGTTCCTGCAGACGTTCTACCATTAGAACCCTTCAAAGACCCAAAGGTTCCTTCAGCAAACGGATGACTTTATAAAAACTGAACTTCATTTTTAAACAGAAACGAACTGAGGCCTACTTTCTGCTCTGCTCTGACTAATGCTACGCCTTTAGCTTCAGCTCCTCCTGTTAGCCAACTTCAGTTGTGTTCAGCTTCTTTTATTCCAGTCCTTCAGTAAGTCTCAGACTGTTTGTTTGTCTCTGTTGGACCAGAGACGCTGCACTGAATCCCCTCAGAGTCAGACTCCCAGGCTGAAAGAGTTAATATCTTCTTATTTCTCTATTCTGCTAAAAGTTGGTGTTGGTGACACGTGAAAACTCCAAAGTACTTAAAATTTAAATTTTATATGTTTATTACATTTTTCACTTAAGGAAGTCACCATAATTTCACCCGTGCAATGCATTGATACGGATATGGATATTGATATGGATACGCCAAGATGGCCGCGCTCAGAGCAGTTGCAGCTTCACAGGCTCCCGGTACCATCCCAGTTTTTAGAAGTTTTGATATTGACTCTGTGCCTGACTCTGCGCGATTTATGCGTGTGAGCTATAGCCGAACCGAACTGATGAGAATAGGAGCGGATTTGCCACGAAATATAGCAGAAATCAGCAACAAACTCAAAGCTACGCTCGGCAGAATGCAGATCTTAAAGTCATCTACCTGGAAGCTGCAGCAGAGGCGTTCCAGCGGGCAGAAGAGGAAGCGCTGCTCCCAGCTTAAAAGGAGAGGATGCCGGGCGGGGGTTATGGTGAGGCTACGAGCTAACGCTAAAGCCGGTAAACTCCCCATGCCGTCTCTCTTTCTGTCGAATGTCCGCTCGTTGGACAACAAGATGGATTTACTTCATCTGAGAGCGGGCGCCTCAGAAGAGATGAAGAAGTGTGCAGTGCTTTGCCTCACGGAAACGTGGATTACAAGCGAAACGCCGGACACAGTCTTCCAGCTGGATGACAGACTTTTTTTTCGAGCGGACCGCTGCAGCGAGCTAACGGGGAAATCACGGGGAGGCGGAGTGTGCATTTACGTGAGTAAAAGTTGGTGCACGAACTGTACTGTTGTAAATAGCTCATGCTCGAAGGCTTTGGAGCAAATAACAGTGAAATGTCGGCCACATTATCTACCCCGAGAGTTCACAGTGACTTTTATCACAGTTGTTTACATTCCTCCGGACGCTAATGCTAATGAATCACTACAGGAGCTTCATGATATCATCAGCTCGCTGCAGAGCAAACACCCCGAGGCTCTTTACGTTGTAGCCGGAGACTTTAACCACGTGAATCTAAAGGACTGTCTCCCAAGCTTTAATCAGCATGTGACGATTCCGACACGTGGAGACCGCACGCTGGACTGTGTTTACACGAACGTAAAAGATGCATACAAAGCCGAACCCCGCCCCCACCTAGGACTGTCAAACCACATCTCAATCTTCCTGGCTCCCGCTTACATGCCCCCGCTGAGATGCTCCAGACCGGTACAAAAGAAAGTTAAATGCTGGATCCAGGACAGTGGACCCATACTGAGAGATTGTTTTGACCGAACAGACTGGCAGGTTTTCAGAGAAGCTGCTGAAAATGGAGGTTCGCTTGATCTTGACCAATACACATCCTCAGTACTGGGTTACATTAGTACATGTACTGACACAGTCTCCACTATCAGAAATGTTAAAAGCTACACAAACAGAAAACCTTGGCTGAATGCAGAGGTGCGTACCCTGCTGGAAGCCAGGAACACTGCCTTCAGGTCTGGAAACTCAGAGGAGCTGAGTAGGACAAGAAAAGAGCTGGTTGCTGGTATTAAGAGGGCCAAGGCCACAAATGCACAAAGGATCGAGGGTCAATTCATCTCACAAGACCCTCGGAGCATGTGGAGGGGCATTAAGTGCATAACAGATTATAAAGGAAGGAGTGAACAATGCTCCAAAGACCCATCTCTGCCTGATGCCCTCAACAAGTTCTATGCACGCTTTAAAGACCCGAACAGACCACCCAGCACCAGACTCACCTCGCCACCGGATGAAGAGCATCTCAGCGTGACCTCAGCAGAAGTTAGGAGAACCTTCAGGAGGATTAATCCGCACAAAGCAACTGGCCCAGACAACATCCCCGGAAAAGTGTTGAAGGAATGTGCTGATCAGCTCTGTGAGGTGCTGGCAGACATCTTTAACACCTCACTTACCCTGGAGACCGTTCCCACCTGCCTGAAGACTGCCACCATCATCCCAGTCCCAAAAAGCTCTACAGTGACTGGTCTGAATGTCTATCGGCCAGTGGCCCTCACCCCGATAGTCGCTAAATGCTTTGAAAAACTGGTCAAGACTCACATCAAAACAACCATCAACATCAACGAGGACCCTCATCAGTACGCATACCGTGAGAACCGATCAACAGAGGATGCAATCTCCTCTGTGGTCCACACTGCACTCAACCACCTGGAGCAGAAAAACTCTTACGTCCGTATGCTCTTTGTGGACTTCACATCCGCCTTCAACACCATGATCCCCCAAACCCTGATGGACAAACTATCCACACTAGGACTAAGCCCCTCCATCTGCAACTGGGTACTAGACTTTTTAACAAACAGACCACAGTTAGTGAGGATCCACAACCTCTCCTCCTCCACCATAACCCTCAGCACTGGCTCTCCTCAGGGATGTGTGTTGAGCCCTCTCCTGTTCTCTCTGCTCACTTATGATTGTGCAGCTACCCATCCAGGCTGTCACATTGTAAAGTTTGCAGATGATACAGTGGTGGTGGGATGCATCACAAACAATGATGAGTCCAGCTACAGGCAAGAGGTGGAACACCTGGAGAGCTGCTGCAAAGAGAATAACCTTCACATCAATGTGAAGAAGATGAAGGAGATGATCGTGGACTTCAGAAGGAACAAAAACATCTACACCCCCCTGAACATAAGAGGATCTGCGGTGGAAGTGGTCTCCAGCTTCAAGTACTTGGGTGTACACATGAATGACAACCTCAGCTGGAGCAACAACACCACCAGCCTGATGAAGAAAGCTCATCAGAGACTCTACTTCCTCAGACGGCTGAGGCGAGCTGGTCTGGAAGCTCAGTCCTCACCTCCTTCTACAGGTGTGCAGTGGAGAGCATCCTGTGCTCCAGCATCAATGTGTGGCATGGAGGCTGCACAGCTGCAGAAAGAAAAGCTTTGCAGAGAGTGGTGAAGGCTGCACAGAAGATGTTGGAGTCAGTCTCCCCACCATCACAGACATCTACACCTCTAGATGCAGGAAGAGGGCCACCTGCATCATGAAGGACCCCACTCACCCAGCACACACACTTTTTGCCCCACTCCCCTCAGGAAGGAGGTTGAGGAGCATTAAGTGTAGAACCACTAGACTGAGGAACAGCTTCTACCCTGAGGCTGTTAGACTCATGAATCTCTATCCAGAATAATCACTGTGAAAAATCACATCATGTTACTGCTGATCTGTTTCATGTTGCTGCTGATCTGTTTCATGTTGCTGCTGATCTGTTTCATGTTGCTGATGATCTGTTTCATGTTGCTGATGATCTGTTTCAATGTTGATGTGTTCATGCGTGCACATCTGCTCACAGACTCATGTTCATGTTTGTGCTGATGTTCAATGTTTTATCCAAAAAAGTTCAATCTGGTCCTCTGGACATTCAAAAAAACAAAAGCAAAAAAAATGTAGAAACGTTTCGTCTCTCATCCAAGAGACTTCCTCAGTCTGAGGTGCTGTTTTCAGCTCAGTCTCTTAAATAGCACCTTCTCAGAGTGGATCAACCAGTTTGCTGCTGACAACCA